TCTCTCTCTCTCTCTCTCTCTCTCTCCAAGATGGAGTAATTGTTCCACATTAAATTCCCTGATATTCTGAAGAAATCTAATGAATCTTACATGGTCTGGGGAAAAAACAGTCAACAAAGGGCAAGCAAGAGGAAGTAGCCTGGTTTACAGCTAAAATTTTTCACTGCAACTGAGAAGCTCTGAATAAATCACTCCAAGATACGAATCCAAATTGAAATGATCATGTCAACATTTTATTGAGACACATCAACCACGTGTGGGCAATTCACACGACCATTGCTCCTCGATACTCATCTCAGTATCATTCTTTTTAATTTCCAAAGGCATATTTAAAACTATTTTATTCCCCAATGGACAACCCGAGGTCCCAAACACCTGTTTAAGCGAACCACAACCCCCCGGTGAAACACATAACGACTCCCATACGTCTCAGGGGATATCGCAGGAGCACCGAGGTTGGACAGCCTGCACATTATGAAGGAAACCTGCCTGTTCCTCTGTTTGGGGGTCTCCCACACCTGACTCTGCGAGCCGCCAGAGGGCCGGGTCTCAGGCACATCCGTATCAAGCGTAGGTAACACAGTGCCAAGCTAGGTGAGCGCTTGCTAAATCAAGGCTGCAAGAAAACACTGGCCCTGCCCATACACGGGATCAGGGTTCTCCCAAGTTTGCTCCACTATCCACCAGCATCAGAAGCTTCCGAGGAGGGATGCCCATTACAACGCTGATTCCTGAACCACATGCCTGGCTCATCAGAAGCTCTGGGGGTGATGAACGTGCAGTTTGAGAGTCCCACTCCACCCCCACTCACCCCACCCCCACTCGCGGTGCTCCGGGGACTGAGGCGCCGCCGGGCGTGCGCAGGCGCGTCCCCGACCCGCCGCCCACCGCCCCACCCCCCACGCCCGCCCCGCGCGCACCTGAGGCAATCGTTGTCTCGTACTAGGCGCGCGCTCTCGCCGGGGGGCAAGAGCCCCCCCTCCAAGTAGAGGCCGAGGGGGGCCCCAGAACTGAAGCCGAAACGCTGGCGGATGAGACTTATGAGATCCGTGACTACTCGGCATCTGTTCAAGTCGATCAGAAGCCAGAAGTCCATGCAGTGCGGGGTAGCTGGCGGCGGGTAATCAAACTGAAGCCGTAGCCTAACCGTCTCGGAGGCTGCCATCTTGCTCGGTGCTCAACGGAAGCCCAGAGAGACCACAGCGCTACCGAGGCGCGTGCTCTGGCGGCCCGCCCCCTGGAGCCTTTTAACGTGTGCCACCTACTGGTGGCAAGTGGCTACTACAGGCTTCGTGCTGGCAAGAACGCGGAGCCGAGGTTGATTCAGTTCTGTTCATGACTGGGCTAGGGAAGAGGACGGACAAACTGGGCTAGGGAAGAGGACGGACAAATGAAATGCCTTTATTCCTTTTCTACTGAGCACTATGTAGGGTCCGAATTTAGGCAAGTCTCTAGATAAACAAGCAGTTCTCAACAGTGGTATATGAGACATTAACTTATATACGTAAAAGAATAAACGAACAACTCCCAATACATTCAGTTAACAAAATTTTTCATCATAAGGAGTTGCAAAAGATGTCATTCCTAGTGTATTGTTAATACTGACAAAAAAAATTAATCACTCTTAAATGTATCCAGTGTAATTTAAATACTTTAGCAGTCTAATACCTACCACCATCCACATTAAAATATGAAAATAAGCCCTCTTATTAACTCCTAGGTAAGTAAATCAGAAATTCCAATTTCCATTCCGTTCTCCCACATAATATATTAACTCCTTTAGTTTTCATGGCAAAGGTATGAATTACAAACCCTTATTATTCCAATTTTGAAGATTAAAAAACCCAAGGTTCAGAGAGGTTGAGTAACTTCCCCAAGGTCACTGGGCCAACTGAAGTGGTTGATACCTTGCAGTCAGTAGATGCATTGAAAAAAACCTTTTTAAGTTTTATTTTCCTGTGACCCTAATACTCTAGGTCTTCCAACTGAGTTATCAATACTAGTATTAGTGGCACACAATTGATCAAAATAGCATAAAACATCACACATTTTGGTACATAATTATTACACAGGGAAATAAAATGGACATGAAAACATCTATTAAGGAAATAAATGGAGCTGTGTTTTTAATGAATTAATACAAGTCTCTGTGGATGAATATCGCTAAATAAGACAGGGCTCCACATCAATTCTGGACCCATTTTTTTTGTAAGGTCCTGAGAGAACTTGTTCACTCATATGAGTAGATAAAAGTGGAGGATTTATATTATTGGCAATGTCAGTCAATTTCCTTAAACTCCTCCTAAGTTACGTGCTAAAATCACCTAGAGATCTTTCTTTTTTTTCTTTTTTTTTAAGATTTTTTTAAATTGGGGAATTGGGGGATGGGACAACGCTGGGGAATTGGGCGTAGGGGAACAGACAAGTTGCTGTCCTTTTGTTCTTCAGTCTAGTTGTGGAGGATGTTGCTTCACTGGCCCAAGTTGGCACCATCATTGCGCTCTTCCCNGATTCCTTATGATAAATCTCATACCTATATCTACATATCAATATCATCTCCAATTGCTTTTGTTTCTCTGGAAAACCCTAATACACACTTCATTCCAAATCATTTCACTACAGGAAAGGAATTCTCTTCCTTCATGAACCGGCAACAGTTAATTCTAATATGTGCAGCCTGATGACGGAAAGCTGAATGTCCCCAATGTCAAACACATAGTGGATGCTCAAAAATGCCTGCTAGGGCTGGCCGAGCGGCTCAGTTGGTTAAGAGCTCGTTCAAGAGTGCGAGCTCTGAGCAACAGGGTCACCAGTTTGATTCCTGGCCCGAGCTGAGCTGCTGCTGAGCTGCCAGCAGGTGGCAGGATGGCTCAGCTAAGAAAAAAAAAAGCCTGCTAAAAACACACATGATACTTCCAGCTATACAGTTCATCAGGTTGTTTGTTTTTTTTTTCATGACAGGAAAAGATGCAGACAATCATATTTGAAAATAAAGTACAACTGATATAAGCATTCTTTAAATTTTTTTAAGGTATAGTAATCCCGTGGATTTATCTCAATGTGGTAGTTGAAAAAATCCTCAATTATCCTTCAGGATACACAATACACAGACACATACAAATCAAGGTAAAAGAGTGGAATAAAGAGAGACACAAAACTCTGCAAGATCGGGGGTTTAAATTACAAAAACACATTACCCTCAGTTCCGAGCTGTGGACGTTGGCATCAGGCAGCAAGGAAGTATTCCTTACACTGGCAAAAGTTAGCTTGGCATCCTGTGAATCTAAGAACTGCTGGGGAACTTCCAACATACCATCAGGCTGTCCCTTGTTATTCTTGATCAATTTGTTTTTACTTATTGCAATGCTATGATTCAAATTTCCATTCTGAGATGACCAACCAGGACTAAACTTTTCATCAACTCTGAAAATGGCTGCAAGACTTTCTGTTCGAGTCCACTGTGGTTTATTACAATCGCTGAAACACAGCATGTGCTGCAACAGTAGATGCAAAAACCCCTGCCTTTCAGAAGAGCTTGCAACTTTGCTGTGCTTTCCAAAGAAGCCCTTGGCATCATCTCACCCGTTCTGAAGACAATGGATCTGTGCATGAAGGGTATGACCTGTGATTGCTGCAGCTTCACTATCTGCTCTTCCTGAAGAGAATAAATTCAGTTTGGAACATATTAAGATTGAAAGACAAAATGCCATCCAGAGAACAAAAAATGGTTCACCTGGGTCTGCTCAGTTACCATTCCTTTCAGGGTGTACACTTTCCCTGGCAATAGTCTTCATTTCTCTACTTGGATCACAGACAACAAATGTAGTTGTCCTTTTACAAAGAGAAGTAAATTACCTGCGTAACTGGCAGTGAAAAAGATTTGATTCCAATAAATATTTAAAACAGACTCTCCACTGTGCATTCAAACTCTTTGCAGGGCAAACTGGACACAGTAACAAAATGCAAAGTGTTCCCTTTAAATCTGCAATTTCACTTCTAGGATTCTGTCATACAGAAATACAGATATGCCCATCTACCCTGCCTGACACACCTGCCAACTGCCTGCTAAGGCCAAACTGGTTGTCTAGGTTCAAATCTGTCACTTGAAATTTTTAAAATAATATGACCTCAACCTTTCTCATTGGTAAAACTGGCAATAGTGATAATAACTATAGTATTCAATGAACTACGTATGTATCTAAAGCAGTGTGGGCCTCAGTAAGTACTATCCAAATGCTAGCTCTCATTTTCATTAATACAATGAATGCTGTTTGTTCTCAGGGCAGGAGTTGGTGGGCTTTTAATGCCATGTCCCATCAAATGAAGGTGAAATTCAATAAGGAGGGTGAATGGATGGACATGCAACAGCTTTGGGTCCCAGCTGTTCCCTGCAGCCTCCCTCCTCCTGTCCAGCTGCTGCTTGCAGTGGCCTGCGGTATCACTTTCAGAGAGGTAAAGTTACCTGACCAAGGGCACACAGTTAATGAGTCATAGAGCTAAGATTCGAACGCAGAGTTCTCACTCCAGATCCTGAGCTCTTAGTCACTCTGCTCTCTTACCTTTCATACAATATTGAACAAAAGTAAGACATGTATTCTTGGCATGAATACAGACCCGTATAACTTTTCTGAAGACCAATTTGACCAAAGAGCACCTCTCCTTAGGAATGTATCCTACTGAACCATTGCCTAAGTACACAAAGATAGCCAAGAATATTCACCACAGCAGTATGCTAACGGTGAAAAACAGAAAATAACTGTCATGTCGGAATATTAGTGTCCACCCAAAATTCGTATGTTGAAATACTAAGGCCCAATGTGATGGTATTAGCAGGTGGGGCCTTTGGGAGGTGCTTAGGTCATGAGGGTGGAGCCCTTGTGAATGGGATTAGGATTCATAAGAGACCCCACAGAGCTCCCTAATCACCCTCCACCACATGAGGACACAGTGAGAAGATGCCATCTATGAACCAGAAAGCGAGCCCTCACCAGACACCAAATCTATTGGCGTCAACAACTTTAACAACTTTCTGTTGTTTAAGACACCCCATCTGTGGTATTTTGTTATATCAGCCCCAGCAGACTAATACGGGGGCTCCAAGCAAATGGGAGCACTTCTTCCTCCCAGGAGGGTTGGAGGCCCTTCAGGAGCTCACTGTCAGCAGCCTGGGAGTAAAGGAAG